ATGCCATTCTTGAGCAGATCTGTTGTAATTTTTCACTCATGAGGATCAAAGACATCCAGTCAAACCTTAAAATGTTTGATGAATTTTTCTAAATTTCTGCAATTTCCATAAAGTTAAGTTATTTAATCTCATTAGATCACCTAATTTGTGCTTCCCAACTTCTTGGTGCAACATATGAAATAATTTATAAGTTATAAGAAATGTAGAATCTATATCATGTGTGAAAAGTAAACTCCAACAAATAATCTGTTAATTAATATCAAATTTTTTATGTCCAAGCAAATTGTAGAGATAACTGACCATAAGCTGTGTTCACAGACACTCCTTGTGCCTTAATATCTTTGTATTAATTTCCATTCATTGAATAATATAACCAGCATGTTACTTGCATACAACACTCTTTTTGATGACATTAGCAACAGAATTCTCAAGATTTGATGTGATGGAATCCAGGATGGATCTACTGCGACGATGGTTTAGGCACTGCTGCCACTCCGACAGAGGCTATCGGAATCCTGTCGACCGCTAGAAGGTTGTTGGCACGCTACAGGATCTGGCTGCACAAGATCGTGTCGAATTCTCCGGAAGTGTCCGCCGCCTTTCCTGTCAGCGAAAGGGCAACGTCGCAAGACGTGGAATTCACCACGAGTCCCACTCACCGCACGCTAGGTGTGAGCTGGAATACTACCAGCGACTGCTTCGTTATCAAGATCGACCGTATACAAAGCGCGGCATTCTCTCGGTCGTTAATTCTATATACGATCCGATCGGCTTTGTCAGCCCAGTCACTATGGGGGGCCGACTGATCCTTCGCCGAATCTCGTCTGAGTCAGACGAGCTCCCAGACTCCAGGCGTCTTGCCTGGGACGACCCTCTCCCAGAGGAGCAGCGTCGCATCTGGACCCGCTGGCTAGCTAGTCTCGACGATCTCATGGCCTATGGGAGCCGCAGATGGCGGAGAGTTCAAGCTCTCGCGAACTACTTCTGGAGCTCCTGGCACAAGATTTATCTTCACGAACTACAGCTGCGGAAGAAGTGGCAATGCGCCGTGAAAGGTCTCCAGTCTGGGGATATCGTTCTGATTAGAGAAAAACGTTGCAGGAGGTCTTCATGGCCTATCGGAATTGTTGAAGAAACTCAACGCAGTCACGATGGCGTGGTGAGATCCGTCACAGTGCGCCTCACTCAGGGCCCGAACGTCAAGGGGGCTCCTCGACATTGGACACGTCCGTCTTCTGAGCTCGTTTTCCTTCAACGCCCTGCCTGTCCTCCCGCTACCTAATTTTCATGTCTGCAGGATTTTCTTCTGTTGTTATGTAGCTCCAGTGCTGAGCAGAGTAGCATTTCAGTAGCATGTTGACTCTCCTAGTGATGTAAATCGAAAAATTCTTGGTTTCGTTGGTGACGTAGCCAATGACGATCTTGCTGTCGGTGTATAAATACATGTCCTGGTCGTCAATGTTCAGCTCCGTGGTAAGTTGTTTTACCGCGATGGAAACGTCCATTGCGGCACAGAGCTCAAGCCGAGGAATATTTAATGCAGTGCGAGGGGCAACCTTGGAGCTCGCACACACGAAGGCGACGTGCACTTCGTTCGAATCGTTGCACGATCGCAAGTACACCACGAAGCCAATTGCATCCTTCGAAGCGTCGGAGAAGGCGTGCAGTTCGCGCTTCTTTACTTCGCCGAATTCAGGGGGGCAGTAACCGCGAGGTACTGCGAACCCAGAGGATGCGATCAGGTTCATTTTCCAGTTTTTCCAAGATTCCAGGTGATCTGGTGGCAATGGATTGTCCCAGTCGTTCGAAGGAGGTTGCTCGATGCATGGTTTCGTCGAGATGATGGCGCGTTGGATTAGTCGTCCTGTAAGAACAATTGGACTTTCAAATCCCAGTGGGTCAAAAATCGAGTTGATGGTCGATAACACACCTCTCTTGGTGAAGGGGTGAAGGGTGATTATTTACCGGTTAACTTTACGGAATCAAGGGCGATAGACACTAGAGATGTTTACTCGATGAACGCAGCTGACTCTCTCCAGTTTGCTAGCTTCAACCTAGTCAGAAAGGCTTAATATAATCAATCCTAATGAACCTAAGGAGTGCCCTTAATTCAGTACCATTACAAGAATACACGGATAGGTCCACAAGTCATTTCTATGCTGTGAACCAACAATTACTACTCTGAGTTATACTCCCACATTAACTGCTGACATGTGTTTGCACCTCAGGAAAGGGGGTTTGCAAGGACCCCTAGTAGGTATTACCTACTTCCTTGCAGAGCAATTAAAAGAGAGCTTCCCACATCTATGCAAACTCACCATCATATCCTTGTGTTGCTGAGAATCTGTTATTAACAAACCAGAGAGGCAGCACTAATCAATCTAAATTATTTTGTTGGTTACATTGGTTTCCCTAAATTTGAGGAGGAAGATAGGGGTTTGATCCACTGTGTTCACTATAGTTAATGCTATATAGGTTAATTATTTAAATTCAATGCCATTCTCCAGCAGATCTGTTGTAATTTTTCACTCATGAGGATCAAAGACATTCAGTCAAACATTAAAAACTTTTATGAATCGTTCTAAATTTCTTAAATTTCCATAAATTTAAGTTATTTAATCTCATTAGATCACCTATGTTGTGCTTCCCAAATTCTTGAGGCAACATATGGAATAATTTATTAGTTATAAGAAATGCAGGATCTATATTACGAGTGAAAAGTAAACTCCAACAAATAATCTGTTAATTTATATCAAGTTTTTTATGTCCAAGTAAACTGTAGATATAACTGACCATAAGCCATGTTCACAGACACTCCTTGTGCCTGAATATCTATGTGTCAATTTCCATTCATTAAATAGTACAACCACAGTTATTTGCATACAACACTCTTTTTGATGACATTAGCAACAGAACTCACAAGATTTGATGTGATGGAATCCAGGATGGCAATTTTCTCTTACTTTGAAGAATGTCTGGGCCAAGCAATGTTTGATTTAGCTGATACATACTCCGCATCAAGCTCCTCAATAGTCTGGGTCATGCTCCTACACTGTCAAGCTGCTGCGTACGCCAGGTTAAGTTGCTACATCCACTGGGTTAAGTTTCTGCGTACACTGTATTAAGCTGCTAACACACAGGGTTAAGCTGTTGCAAAAACAAGATTTGAACAGTCAAATACAATCAAGAAACAAAGACCCTGTTTTAGCAACGGGTTAATGCAGTCATCCAGACAGCAACAAATGTATTGGTTGTGAGCACAGAAGGACTACTGCTTGGCTACAAGGGTTGGATACAATCTCATTCCTGACCATCTGTTGGCTGAGATCGATTGTGCTGCCCAGTTTAAGGGGTAGTATTACAGCCGCCATAGAAACAGGGAATATTTTGCTTCAACTACAAGATAATGAAATAAAGGAATAAGTCCTAAAGCAGTGAAATTTGAAAAGCAGAGAAATAAAACAAAAAAAAATATAACTCAGTACTCAATGCAGTGAGTGACAGAGCGCATTTTCTTGTTGACACAAACGTGAAGTCACGGACAGACGGACGGATGGACATGATGAGCACAATAGGGCATTTTTTCCATAAATGAGAAAATGCACTAAAAATATAGAAGTAGAATCACTTATCTAATACTTGCATCATTACGTCAGGGCTAGTTTAGCATCACCTAATGATATTCAGTAAAATCTGCCATCAAGAGCATAAAAAATGCTGACATCAGCATAAGATATAAAATTAAATTAAACAAATTGATTGCCAGTCTTGCAAGGTTACTGAACTACTAGTACTGTCAATCTATTTTACAACTATACCAGAGTGTCAGCTGAATGGAAATAGTCAGTAAAGAAAGTAACCGTCAGTCAGGAAGCCAGGGTGTAACTGCAACACAGTTACCTCCAGGAGCATGACTGCCACTTTTACAACAACGGCTTCCAGTCCCTCATGCAGCCTCTACAAAAAATGGTTGCTGAGATTCCATTGAAGAAGCAGTTAGACCCAAACAAGCATGAGCCTTTAGCGTTCTCTTTTATATCCACGCCATCCAAAGAGACTGCCACTTTCAAGGGACATTGAACAGCTACGCCCCTCTTCCTTGGTGGCAGTGGGTGCTTTGGGTTAGGTGCTCTACACAGCTTGGTCCTGTTGGCTCAGAAGATCAAATGTTCTGCACTTGATTCCTGTGTCAAGCTTCCTACATTCACATGCATCCTCACACCTGGGTGACTGAAGCAGTTTCTTATGGCCACTGGAGAGCCTGTCTCTTATACACATCTAGATGTGTATAAGAGACAGGGTAAACAGTTACCGGANAATATTGTTAACAATTAGATAAGAAGTAATTCATCTGGCCGCATTCTGGCGCAAATCTGATGGTTCTGGAAATGGTGGGAAAGCTTTAGTCGTGGCCCCTAAAGTAAAGGTAGATATTTTCCATGCTTGCTGTCAGACAAGATGATGATGGCTTAACATCATTACTCATTAATCTTAAAGACTTAATCATGGCAGAAAAACAAGTAATTTGTTCTAAAATATATTATTTTTGAGTTGGATGCTGAATTTTATTGATAGAGTGAGTGTTTTTAATGCTGTTATGATGACATTTATGATGGCAATATTCACGCAGATATCCTGGTGGTGAAGATGTTTAGGATTGTGATATAGTGTATATGATAATATGGTAGGCTATTAGCTACCTACATGATATCCTATTAGGCTTAGGCCTTAGAGGCTATAATGTTTGAGGTTTCCGAAGTCATTAGATCCTGTCTCTTATACACATCTAGATGTGTATAAGAGACAGGAATGAGGATGCTTCATACCAAGTTATATGTGCATAATATTTCAGACTGAAAACTAGGTTAAGATTTATGTCCTGCAGCCCAACTTGAAGATTTGATTATGGAAATAGCACTCTGCAATTTTTTCTCTTGAAATTCTGTGCAGTCATTTCAAATGCTTTGCTAAACATCAATTTGCACATCAGCTCTACCTACCTCATTTCCATATAAGAATGGTTCCTCTTTGATGGATACTTCTTCAGTTTCATCCTCAGGTTCCTCCTTAATGTAGATAGTAGGAACTTTGAGGACTGGTGGAGGATCAACCTTTTCTAAGGCTGGAAAATATATACATTGATGCACTGATACCACAGGGCTATGGAGCGAGATATCTTATAATAAATATAATGCTTGTTAAATAAATGAGTCATGTGAGCTTTAGTTAAAAATTAATACCACTCTGATGAGTGAGACTCATGAGGTGGCATATTCCCACACATTGTTATCACATATTGTGCTAAAACTTATAAGAAATTAATATGACTGAGAATTAAAAGATAATTTGACATAGTTCCTCCCGTGTTTAATAACAATTGATCAAAAATCATGGTGACAAATGAGATTTTTTAGAAATTATTTCGTTTATAATTCCCTGATCTACTTTAAATTTTTTCATTAGCTATGTATGATAATGCTGGCATCCATGATACTTTACTATTCTACTAATAGGCCATAATTCACTCAGAAAAAAAGTCTCTACTTTGCTACTATCTATTAGTGAGGCACATGGAATCTGGCTTACCTTCAGACTTTACTTTGCCGCCACCAGGAGACGCTTGCGTGAGGCTCTGCTCAGGACATCTGTCACTCCTGACTGCAGCACCGGAGAGTTGGTGCAACACAACACGGTATTTCTTGGTAATGGGCGCCATCATCAAATGTGATGCTAGTTATAAATCACTGAGGTTGAGGTTGTTTTTAATCTTTAGTGTTGACTGCAATGGTGGTAACACTGGAGGGATACAGGGAATTGTAAAGTGCAATCAAGGCTCATGAATAGGCTTCAATTTTAACATATGCAACAAAACTCATTTGTCCCAAGTTACTCAAGAGGAGTGTCTGGCCAAAATTTTATCTCGGCTATTTACAGACGGATCACTTTGAAATTTGGTACACGTGTGTAAAACTAAAAAATAGACAGCTTTTATTCGTGTAAATTTTTCGAAAAAATGAAAGAAAACATAGAATTCTTAGAAAATGGCCAAAAAAGGGGGGTACTGTAGAAATCTATCTCCTCCTACAATTTTGAAGCTACAACATTGAGACACATATCATTTGGTGCGTAAATACCATATCGTAGCTTTTTATCATAGCTTTTTTGAAATTCAAATTTTTGTGGGTGGGGGAGCATTTTTTGTAAAATTTTCAAACATTTTTTGATTTCCCTCAATTTCCCCCTCTTTTTTCAATATCAGGGTTGGTGATTTTTTTTTTACTTTTTTTTTTTGATGAAAAATAAAGGATTTTTTTATTTTTTTCATTATTTATTTTTATTTATTTGATTTTTCTGATTTTTTTCAGCTTTTTGTCTTTTTGAAAGGTTATTTTTTATGTTGCAATCAGCCTACTAACAATAGCATTATATGGATCATAATGGATAGCTAAAAGGGGCACTTATTGCCTTCAATAATGGCCAACAGGCCAAGATGGTGTTTTACCACTTAGGGATTTTTGGGTAAACAATTATTGATAAGTCTATTCATTAGCTTTGTAAAGTCTATATGGAGCAAGGTAATGAGCTAAATATTGACCATTCAACTGGCTTCAATATACAAAAACTCTCCAGGAATGCAGATCTTCTAAACATTAAAGAGACACATAACAGTTAGGTAGCTGATAGCACAGTGCACAGCACTATCAATAGATCTACTAGTTTCATGTCCTATAAATCTACCAGACTCTACCCTCTATACACACCGACTAGTAGTGACTGAGTGACTGACTGCACTGTTCCAATTTAATTCAGACCAATAAACCAATACTAAACATAAACTGAATGATAACCAAACAAACCTCAAACGACCAAACAACACCGACTAGTAGTGTCGCGTCGCGCGAGTTGAACTATTGGAGTTTAGGGTTCACAGCGCTCTGCCTTCTCTCAGAACCATCCGCCGAGCTCTACTTCCGCCCGCTAGCGTGCAGCATGCGGCGTCTCATTTAGTGGTGACGAACTCCTGCATTAGCATAAGATGTGTAGCTAATTCATTGCCTAGAAATCCAGTTCATTCATTGTCCATATCAAGTCTTTGTTTCACTGTGTCTTGTATTAGTGCTTATTTGATCTTGATAAACCTGGTATGCCCATTGTGAAATGCAATAGTAGTTTTTTGGACTTTTCTTTGTTTTAATTATTGTCGGCCATTATCGTGTAACCGAGTCTCCATCTTCTTTCTGTCCAGACGTGCGTAAACTTGATGTTGTTTCAATGTAACAGTCAATTGTTAACGACCAATCGAACTGATGAATAGGATCGATGTGCCACATCTCGTAAGTGTAATGCTTGTCTTTGTTTTCTAGGCTACTGCTGTCATTTTTGCGTTATTTACACATAGATGAAATATTTAGATTGTTGTCAGCCTAAGTTTAGGATTATTCCTTTTCGCAAGTTCAACACCTATCCATCGATTATGTATAACGAGTTTCTCGGTATTTTGTTAACTTTCAGTGAGATTAAAAGTTCATGTTTTTTTTCGAGTATTACATCTGCTCTATTATGTGCAGATTTACGGTCGAACTTTCCGGCAGTAAACCTGGA